ATTTGGATGCTAATTTACTGAACCCGTTTTTTCGACGCATCGACCCAGGGAGGAGATTTTATTGAAAAAAAAAAGAAAAAGATTGAATAAACCTCGCTTGAAGATAATCTAGCGCCGACTGTGTTTTTCGGCATTTTACGTCATATAAATATCGTGCCTCCTACGCGAGAAATGAAATACTAATCAAAACCATCCGAAGTATTGTCTACAATCGATATATCGAGTGGTATTTTAAATCGTTCTACAAGACTCCGAGTGTGTTTCAACTGTAGTTTCTGTAACAAAGAGTGACGAAGGGTCAAAGCTTCTCTTCTTCTTTACAAGTATGCCACCCACAACCCCTCATACTGGTAACAACAAAAAAAAAATACTAAACAAGGTGTCAAAACAAGTGAAGGACGGAGGAATTCAAAACAGAAAGAACGTCGGTAAATAGTTGACTGCCATTTGATAAGAACGGCTTCGAAATCTGCTGCTGCTTCGAAAGGAAAATCTTTTATTTTGGCCCATGTGCTCTTGATTGTGAATATAATCGGTCCAAACTGAAAAAGAGACTTATTTTCTCAACAGTGGCGCTTATCGCTACTCACCTGAGACTTATTCAAGAGTTAGAAACTTCGAATACAACCACACGTTCAAACAATGAGCATTAAAAAAAGAGAATTTACTTACTTCAGCCTAGGTGGCACCTCAGGTGGGGCTATTATCAAAGGATATGTGGAAAGAGATGAAAGAAATCGTTTCGTTGTGAGTAAGGATGACGTCATTAACTAAGTTAAAGCTTGCGACTCAGAAACCACGTGTGACTTATATTTGACTCTGTTGTGAAACAACGAGAGAAGGAATAAGGTGGGTTATCATGGTGATTAGTTTCATATAATTTGTAACGTTTTTGTAATTTGATTAGTAATGGGCTTTGCCGGGACTGTAGAGGGACCTTCAAAATCAGTGCTGGAAATGCAGAATATGACCTTCTTAAAATAGCTCCTTCGTGCTCCAAGACACTGACGTATTAAAAGCCACAATCTGCCATATGAAGACATTTTATTTTCGTATGGTAACATTTTACCTGTAGCACGGCGTTTTTTAATGTATGAAATGAACGCCAGTAGAAAAACGACAGCAGCCAAAGGTCCCGCAATGTAGTACCACTCCAGTGAGCTGCTGGAAGGAGCTTCTGAATTTCCTGAAACACAATAATAGAAGAAGCTTAATAGGAAAGTAATTTGCTGGTCGGCAAAAAATTGATATCACCAACTATCCAGATAGAGAGCTAACTTTTTTTTGTTCCAACAATTTACGTTGTTCATTGCTTGCGTTGGGTGACGGGGAATAACTCATGGAAAAACAGACGCAGATGTGTTAAGTTACAAAAAACAGGCAGATAGACAGAGAAAGATTGGTGAAAGAATTATAGAATATGTATAACATGCTGCTACTGTTTGAAACTCGTTTTGAAACAGTTTTTTTAATTTCTTTCAAATTTAATTCATTTCAAATTTCTAGTTCCCAGAAGACCAAAAAACCACTGGAAAAGCTTGTGAGGAACATAAGAGGTGGACGTGTATTTTATAATAATGACCTTACATAGTTGATTACTGAAATTATATGTGGTTCCTTAAACAGCTTACCTTTGACATTTACTGTCACAACAGAGCGAGCCACAGTTCTTAGCTTGTTACGTGCTTCACAAGAATATTCACCACTGTCCTCTTCCACAACCTCAGTAATATCAAGTTTACTATTTTCCTCATCTAATCGTGTCTCTATAACTGCTTTTTCTGTTATTAGGTCTCCATCTTTTTTCCACATAATGCTGATTGTTTCTTCGTTGACTATGCAGATCAATTTGAGGGTATCTCCTTTTGTGAGTGTTATGTATTTCTCTGGAAAAACTAGAGCAGAGGCTTTTCCTGCGTTGAAAAAGGGGAAATTCATTAGTATGCTGGTTTCACATTAAAACTACAACTACATTATAAACACCCCAGAAAACAAACACAAAACATTGAAACGAAACGAATCAAATGTGACCTTCTGCATAATGCTTCGAATATGTTGCTTTAGATGAAAAAAAGAAAAGTATTTCCTTGTGAGTTTCGTAAGGTTTTCGTAAGATTTTCAGAACAAGCTTGAAACCTTTATGTTTTAAATTTCCTGATTACTGTTTCAACCGCCCCAGATCCTCCGCTGAACTTCTAAATTAAGGTCTCGGTAATGTTCCATCTTCTCTTGTTCTTTCTTCTACACCCTTGTGTCAAATGGACACAACAAGTGAGTCATGCAACACGAAGTTTTTTCTTTTCCAGCACTGCGGTAGCGGGTCTGATTTCAAGTAGATGATCGTCCGTTTAAATTCTAAAGTACTACAACAATTTCATTAGGTGGTTTTCTATCACTTCCTGAGGAGAGAGGACTTAATAAATTTTCTCTAGCGGACATCTTGACTCTTCATCTTCAACATTATCATCGTCATTATCAACGTCATCATCGTCGTCGTTACCATCATCATCATCATCATCCTTATCAATATCATTATAACTGAACTTACCATAAACACGCAGAGTTGCTGAGGAACTGGTTGTGTTTGCTTTGTTTTTTGCTGTACACTTGTAAGTCCCATTCATCCCTTTCGTGACACTTGGCGAAACTACGAATGATTCTCCTTCGTGATCGGTTTGATTGATACCAGGTGGCAGGTCACCATTATTAAAAGTCCAGACGAAGGTTGGTGTTGGAATACCTGAGGCTACGCAACTAAGGTTTACAGGGTATTCTTCGGTAACAGATTGGCTTTTCGGAGGCTCAATGATCTGGGGAGAGACTTGAAGTAAAAAGATCATCAAGCTAAACAAAGGGTCGCATTGTCCATTTTAACCCCCTCTCCCCCTCCCTTATCCAACCCTAAATTAACTAGTATCAAAATAAAAGCAAACTACGTTATTGCCGAGCCTAGTTTTAATCCAAGTTTATTTTGCAATAGGTTTTCTTCTCTTTTGATATTGAAAGGTATTAGCCAGCCCAACGTAACATCAAAACATTATTTTATTTTCTTAAACGATTTCACATCTTGTGGAGGGGGACATGGGGGCGGGAGCCCGGCAGAACGGGGGCGGGAGAAGGCGGGAAGCGGGAGCAGAAATTACTGGGTATTATTCAGTCAAAAGCATTTATCTAGCAAAGTATTGAAATTTCCGTTCAACATCCACCAATGCTTAAAAGAAAAATTTGGAAGCAAGAAAACTTAAATTTGTAGTCGGGCTGGAAAAACAGCATTACTTCCGGTGAATTTAGAAATCCCTTCAATTCGATTAAGTCATAGGTCATGAGATAGCATGACACATGTGCACGTCTGGTAAGTTGTAGCTGTCGAAAATCTCCAGCAAAGAAAGCGATTCAGGGTCATTCAGGGTCATTCACTGTTATTCCTGTTAACATAATAACAATGATGGTAAAGCAAGCTTAACACGGCAGAAATCGCCAGAAACTACAACGGACACACGTGATGTGAGTAAGTTTTATTGATTTTATGTGTAAAATGTTCATATTTCGAAATATTTCTCGTTGTAACTCGACTTAATTTTGGTCCCCATACTATTCCTTATATCGTGTTCAAATTTTCAACGGTTCCTTTCTTAACTTAACACAGAGTCACACAACGCGTGACGTTTTCATGAATTAATCGTTAACTTCTTCTCGAGACGTGAGCTTTGGCCGCCTGTGGTCAAACCCGTCATTTTATACACTCAAATTTTCCGTTGTAGCAAAAGTTCATAACGACGTAATAGCGGGATTATTTTCATACATTTCTTCGACGTTTTGGTCGCTGATTTTGCAAATTTCAATTCAATGAAACGTTGGCATGGATGTTTCTTCAAAAATCGCTATCTAACTTCAATAATAAATACTAAGGGCCTGTTTGCATGGGGGTAGGGTAACCTGCCTGTCCATATAATTTCTTATTTTATCTTGATCACGTTCACATGATAGGTGGGGTGACCCGCTTTCATGGCAAAAAGCTCTAAAGCGAAACACGTATGTTTTAAAACTTTGTACATTTCCTAGCCGTCTCATGGCAGAAATCACCAGAAACCGCAACGGACACACAAGGAGTGTAAAATGTCCACATTTCGGAATATTTAGCGTTGTAAGTGGACCATATAACAAATTATTCCTGATAACGTATTAAGTCAAAGATTGCTCGCGTAACCTCACACCGCGTAACAGAATGCGTGACGCTTTCATGAATAAATAGATACGTGTCCGAGAATTAATCTTTCGTCTTTCTCGAGACATAAGCCTGGGACGCCTATGCTCAAACTCCCCAGTTGTGAGCACTAGTGTCGACAACCTCAAGAAACCTCACCCCAGCACCTGGGGTTGTAAGATTGCATGTAAACGCGTTTTATTTTTCGACCACGGCCAGGCGGGTTACCTCACCTACCTGGGGTCCCCCGCCTCCATGTAAACAGGCCCTCAGATAATGAGGCACTGATAGCCGCTTCGACAAACTGTGACGCATACACTTTTACCACTTTTGAAAATATACATGAAATCATGACTCCTTAGTCACGGGTATTTAAAAAGGAGAAAAAAAAGTCAAAAATTTTAAACGAACTTTTATAATAGATGCCGTGACAAATCAAAGGGTCCTGGGAGCCAGCTCATTCACACTTTTCCCCATAAAAATTAGCCTGTTTCTCATGTAAGCCAATAGCAATATAAGGTACATATGTGAAAATCAGTGTATGAACACCCTTGAACGTTGAAAATATATTAAGTCGAAGGAACAGTTTTGGTCTCAGTCCGCATTTTTGTCAACGAAATGAACACATATCGGCTAAAAAGATGAGTCGTGCGGACCACGTGCAAAGCTGTCCATTGTTTCACGAATACTGCGCGTGTTAAGTATTCAGTGGTGAAACCTCATTTACATCTACATCTCCTTAACAAATACATTCCAAGTTGTCCGTCCTCCAATAGATCATAACTGAGAACCAATCAGAATGCGTGCATAACTGAGCTTATTATATAATCTTATTTAGTTGCGAAATTTTGTACAAACATCTCACCAACCAACACGCGCGCAAAGTGAGGAGATTGTATGAAGGCTTGAAATTTTACTAAGAATGATTTTGATCAAGAAACGGGCAAGGAATATTCCACAATAGTGCAAATAATTGTGAAAGATGATCGCGGAAAAGCATGACGCTCGGTAAGTTGTAAGATGACATGTTATCACGTATCAGACGAAAAAACGGTATAAATTGTCAGTCTGCATTTTATCTGCAGTCTGCATTTTGTACCTAGTCTGCATTTTTTACCCGGTCTGCGGTCTGCAGTCTGCATTTTGTACTGACCGGATAGATATTGCTGTTTTTGTTCGAGCGAGCCTCAAGTCCGGACCGAAATATTGGAGCTCGGAAAAAATTTGATTATGCTCTTCCGCTCTTTCGCTTGGTCACAGAGTGTGTTGAAATGAACCCGCTACGGGTCCCCCTAGGTGTACATTTCGGCTTCTCGATTCAAGTTGCATTTTTAGAAGTTCGCAAATGTGATCTGAGTTATTATTTTTATTAAAAACCATACAATTATTCTTTCCACGTGAGTTTCTGAACTTCATCGAAATTAATTTTGACTTTCACTAAGTGGGGAGGGGTAGCACGCGAAACTACTTCTGTTCAAGATCCACAATTTCCGTCAACAACTGCTTCACCACGATACCTCATTCATTGCTTCCAGAATGAATGAGCTAAAAATGGTATGTTGGTATCTATAAAGTCAAAATTGCTCGACGCTCCAAAAAACAATTGGTTTAAACTGCCCAAAAATTAATTACATGTGTCTGAACACGAAATTAATTTACATGATTTGATATATCAGTTGTCATGTTCTCGCTCTTTAAATGTTATCATCGTTAGAGCACTCTTTTTTTTTTATCACTTTTAATCAATTTTAAACTAATGTGGTTTCAAGCCCTTAAATCTGATTTGGTACCAGGGAATGGAATTTTTTTCCCCTCATCGAGGTAAAGATTTAAACTGATTTTCGACTCCAGATCTCTCTATATGCAAATGAGAACCGTACCTCCCGCCACTTCGATCCAGAAAGTTGAGTTTTTGCTCCCTCCGCTGTTTTTGGCGCTGCATGTGTATTGACCAGAGTGCTTCAATCTTGCTTGACGAATCGTGTAAGTGTTGTTGTTACCGAGATTCACCCCATCCTTAGTCCAGTGTATCTTAAGTGTAGGGCAAGCGCTCAGAAAGCAAATTAAGTGAAGCGATGAATTATATGCAACCGACTGATTCTTGAGCTCAGGATTAATTTCAGGAAGACCTGGGCATAGAATTAACAAGTACAATTCGAAAAAAAAAACATTAAAGAATGAGAAGAGCAACTGAATGAAACAAAAGTGAGTCAACATTTACCTGTGACTGTAATGTGAAAAGCTGATTCATTTTTCCCTTCACTGTTTTAAGCGCTACATGTGTATTGACCAGCATCTCCATAACTCACTCGATTAATCGTGGTAGTGTTGTTGCTACCAAGATTCAACCCATCCTTAGTCCAGAGTATCTCATTTGAAGGGTAATCGCTTAGAGAGCGTTTAAACTAAAGCGATGATTTACGGGTAACCGACTGACTCTTGAGCTCAGGATTAATTTAATATAAATTGGCCACCATAAAGATTTTCTAAGCTGACGTTTCGACCGTTTGAACTTCGTAGGAGCTAACGCTCGGAACGTCAGCTTGGAAACTATTTACGGTCAATCTCCATAACCAACTCGGTTGGTAAAACCAAGGTGTATTTTACAAAGAGTTTGGAAGTCGATAAAAGGATAGTTGAGGGATATCTGTGCAGCATTTTCTACCAAAAATGTGTCCTTTACTTTCTCCTCATACACAAAACCACTTACATTCACGTGATTCCCGAGTTCTTGAGCAGTTAAATTCTAGAAGTAAGATTATTCAGATAATATCTTTAAAGTAAGAAACAATTGGAGATTGAGTCATCTTATTTCTGTTAGAGAAAACATCCATTGAGAATAACTGCTGAAGATTCCTGCCTAATTATTACTGCAATCTATTGTCACTTACCGACTCTTTGCCGGTTCTGGTTACATTCTTTGCAGACACTCCAAGATGACCACGCCATACAACCTTTGAAAACAACAAATTGTGCGCAAAGAGTCATATGTCATGTTATCACTCTACCTATGCTCTTTACTCATAAAGGATACCAAAATACGTAATTATTATCGTCGATATCCCCAGTTTCTAATTTCCAAGGAGACTTCGAAGTAACATCTCCAAGTTAAAAAAGATTGATGGCTTGAAGCTTATAAATCACCCAACTTACAGCTCCTTATTTATAAGCCTTATTTGTGTTCTCTCAACATCTGTCAAGGATTTATGTTGTTATAAGCCAAGGAGAGTGACATTGTTTTGTATTGCTCAAATGGATGACTGTGCAAAAATGTTAAAAGAAACAAACTAGGATTTTAACGTTTTCAATTTTTTAATTTTCAACTTTACTGTAAAAGTTCCACCAGTATATGGCAGAAGCTTGAAACATTGAAATTCAATTGTTGTAACAATTAAAAGTTTTATTTCTATGCAATATCTTTGTCCACACATCCACTGATCAACAGAGAAGAGTATCCTGTCTCTTTCCCTCTATTGGGATCCATTCGTTTGTTCAACCATCTTTATCAACCCTTTATCCTACTGATAAATGATAGTTCAAGCATGGCTACTTACAATCTGTTATATCAGTTAGGATGAGGATGTTAGGTGAACATGAAAAGAAAGATTCACATTCGGTGAGTAAGTAAGTGGCTTAATATAGCCTTGGAATACTTGACTAACACATCATAAGCTTAACAAACAAACTGAACTCGTCGCACTCACCCGCTTATGAATCCGGAAAGAACGCCGTGATAGAGAAAAAACAGTTTTGAAAAGATGTTAATCCATTTATCTATTCATTTGTTTATTTAAACCAACCGGTTTGTTTGGTACATCAATATTTTACATTGAAATCGATAACAATCAGCCAATTATGACTGATATCTGATGATAACTATACAAATATCTTTTATTACAGAACTTAGGCACTGATTTTATACTAATACCGTCCACATCGGTAAATCGTTTGGATAGTAACATTATAACATTACCAGCTATCACTAACTGTCACTGATACAAACACAAATAATTCTTTGCTATTCACGATTGCAATTTGCTGATCAGTAATCAGCCGGTGCAGAGAGTCAATAGTGTATATTGAGCCACAGGAGAGTTCTTTATTTATAGGAACGGATGATATTGATAATTACCTTCCCTTTTGGCTAGACAGAAAAGACGAGATAAGAAAGGAGGAGCAGTTAATGATCTAATAACATAGCTTAAGTTATGAAATTACAATTCATCGTAAAATTCTACCCCCCCCCCCCCCTTTTTTTTTTTAGGAAAGGAATTAGGTTCCAGTACTTTCTCAACACATGGAAAGCGAGCATCAGCGCCTAAATTTACATTTCCCAGAGAAGGATGTGATGTTGGAAAAAGATTCTCCAGAAACTTAAGAGAAAATTGTCAAGGATAGGTTGCATTTCTAAATTTCTGTTTAACCTCGTTCACGCCGGTTTCGCGTGAAGGGTTTGACTGATTTTATGCGTGGTATGACCAGCCCTTGAATTACTTGTGTTAAACTTTGTTTTACTTCTGTTCTGCGTTTGTCACGCCTTATAATGATCCTGTGGCAGACACCGTGAACTTTTTTTTTTGCAGTCTTGGACGAGATTTAGTCGCTATCAGGAAGTAAAGAAAGTTAGCATTGCTAAATCGAATGTTCCTCGTTAGCTATCACCAGCAGATCGCAAGATGAGGGGCCAGTTATGGAAGTCTCTACCAATAAAAATGTACCGAAAGCACGAGTTGAGCTCAAAATTCAAAATAAAGCATAAAAGTAGACTAAAAACACATTGAATGGATGTTAAATTTCATTGGTTGAAACTGTATTATTGTCAGGAGAGTTTGTAATTTATAAAGAAAAAACGGATATTGATTAATTCGAGTTTGTTTGGTATCGTCAATCCATTTCAAGAGACTAAAAACAAGCAAATTAGAAAACAAGAGATAAATTAGAATGAACGGCTTAAACAAACACCTTAATGAATATACAACATTTCATTAACAAGGCAATCAAATTTAATAACCCGTATTTACATTTCGCGATGACGTTGAATTGCTCGATGAAATTAACTAATTTATAGTGTAATAGATGTGCCCTTCTATCGTGTAAAACCACGAGTTTGGATGCATCACACAGGTTAACATTTAAATTCATAAACGATAATTGGTTCACTTAACTTTCTGTTGATCTAACACATGACAGAAAGCGTTCAGTTGTTATTTAACATTGCTGAGCTGGTCCTTAAATTTACAGGGCCTGCAGAAATCCTTCTCTCAAGAACCGCTTGATTGTGAGTGCTTTGGGTATAAAAGTCATTCTCCAGAAAGACCTAGAAGAATCGATAAGATCCACCATTGATTGTCTTAATTCAACATGACTCTGGAAATGCAGAAGGAGACCCGTGTTAGTTCTTTTGATGTAGACCTTCTCTCAATCTTTTAACCTGCACGGTTAAGCAGTTCCTTGAAAGGGAAGCAGTTAATGATCTAAATAACATGTTATTAAGTTATGAAATAACAATTCATCGTAAAATTCTCCCCTTGGACCGTTGCTGGCTAACGTCTCACTTTTAGGAAAGGAATTAGGTTCCAGTACTTTCTCAACACATGGAAAGGGAGCATTAGCGCCTAAATTTACATTTCCCAGAGAAGGATGTGATGTTGGAGAAAGACTTCAGAGAAAATTATCAAGGATGGGTTGCATGTCTTAATTTCTGTTTAACCTCGTTCACGCCGGTTTCGCGTTAAGGGTTTGACTGATTTTATTCGTGGTATGACCAGCCCTTGAATTACTTGTGTTTAACTTTGTTTTACTTCTGTTCTGCCCCGTCAGAACATGTTTTGAACAGTGCGGTCTTGGACGAGATTCAGTCGCTATCAGGAAGTAGAGAAAGTTAGCATTGCTAAATCGAATGTTCCTCGTCAGCTGTCACCAGCAGATCACAGGATGAGGGGCCAGTTATGGAAGTCTTTACCAATAAAAATGTACCGAAAGCACGAGTTGAGCTCAAAATTCAAAATAAAGCATAAAAGTAGACTTAAAACACATTGATGACATGGATGTCAGCGTAAATTTCATTGGTTGAAACTGTATTATTGTAAGAGAAAGCGATTTTCAATGGGGTTTCAGAAGTAATCCTTGATAACATCGGAGTTTTGTTACGCCTCGTCCTCCACTACAGCTTCTCAGCAAATTTGATTTCACATGATCTCGTGCGTTTTCCAGTCCTGGATGCCAAATGTTTGCTTTGAATATGAGATTCTTGAGGCTCCAATGATTTTTCGTTGTTCTGATTCGCTGTGGTGATAACCTAGCTTTGTTTTTACAACACTTAATCGACATACACTCCGAAAAGAGTAAACAATTCATACGCGGTCCGGTTGTAAATAGGATCTTAGGTACTAAAGGAAAATTTAATTGTCTTGAGCATGATTATCAAGAATAAGAATTGCGCGAGATAAACTAAATTCAACTTACCAGCTAAGTGATTGCAGAAGTGGCATGTAAATAAAAGTTATTAAAAAAATAAAATTAAAACGTGCATCTGTTGCTCAAAACATTCATTTGTTTATTGAGAAATGCTATGCACTTTTTCTTTCGTTTATCACCTGTACTTTAGTTAAATATGTTAACGTAAACGTACTGTAAAAGTGCCATGCAAATAGATATGCTTTAAATCACAGCGAAACATGTACTTACGTCCTAATCGTTTTTCACAGTTGCCAAGGCCAAGGAATAAGAAAAAAAAATACATCAAGAACAGAAAAATAAATAAAATGAAAGTAATTAACTGCTAAGAGAGTTGATATTCATTAATCAGTCGGCTAAGACCTCTGCTCAACAAATAATTCTGATATGAAACCATTTTCATGATTATGGCTTTAATTCTCATAATTAGTTTCAAGTAACTAACACCTCAATTTTACAGTCTACCACAGACGACATTAAATCTTTTCGTAAACTGAGCCACTGAATCAAAATCTGATCCTTATCTACTTATGGTTCACACTGAATATATATTTTCACAAGAGCCTAGTTCAAAACGACTTCAACAAGTTTCCAACCATAAGTTAGGAAGCAAGGCGAATATCAGAATGCCATGTTTATTGATGATCATAATTTCTCATCCATAATAATATCAATAAAACGAAATTGTAGCTTTCATTATTACAAAAGTAAGCGACAGTGACACAAATATGTTACATGACTGTTACTGCAGTAGTGAAAAGACATGTGAAATCCGCCAAATAACTATAAAAAGAAGACATACTTACGATCTATTTGCCCGTTAAGGTAGGAAATAAGAAAAAGAGATATGTTAGTTAGTGATGCACATTTGTTATTGCCTACATTGTTCTTCAGTTTGGTATCGTTAAGTAAAAGTGTCTTGTTAATGGAACAGCCAATAGTATGACTACGCATCCTATTACACTTGCCACAACTGTTGGGTATTTCAATGGTTGCCATGTTGGCAGTCAGTGGGGAAGTCTGACCAGATAAGAGTCTTCAACATGCTGTCAGCCACCAATAGTAAAAAGGACATTTTGCCAAAGTATAACTCTTGGCCGAAATCAAAAATATTAATTGGGGCGAAAACTATACCGCTTCATTGTAAGTAAAGCGTTTTTCTTTTACAAATCTACTCTTTCGCAAAAATGATGATAATTCTGAAGAGAGTCTAACACATGATGACTGTCGAATAGTACCTGGTTTGTTAGAAATGTGAAAATGAATGACGAAAAGTAAAGAAAAAGCTACTTACGACCTGTTATGTCAATGAGACGTTGGTGAACCCGATGGAAAAGAAGAGAAAACGAATCAACTCAAATCCACTATCAGTTTAAAGCCGTTGTGAGATACTGTGAACTAATTGACTGAGTAGGAGGGCAGGACGGGAAAATATTTGGCTCGAGGTCATGACGTACGGACCGAGCACAGCACAGAGGTTCGAGTGCCATGAC